GGCACCCATCAGGAATAGATGACTGAAATGTAGAAAGGGCCAGTGGATTCCCACCTGAGGACTGTGTGAAATGCTTAGTGGTCCATGACCAAGGTACTGATACCATAACAGTGCAAAAAGGGTGACAGTGCCAGGTAGTCTTGAATGTTGGTAAGCATGGCTACAGATCTCCCCAGTTAGTTTTGTGCTCATTAGGGCTATAGAAGAAAGGTCTTGCTGAGACAAATGCTGAAAGGGAAAGAGGAGCAAGCAAGATGTACCTAATGTCTTTCATGAAAGATAACAAGATGGGCTATCAAATGTTATCAACCAGCACACAAGAAAAGGGGGTCAGGGACCTCACCTATTCAGCCAAATGGAAATTGGACAGCAATCAATATCTGGAGCAGATTTCAAAAGAGTTTTTCAGATGCATAATCTCAGCAGAGACCAGTGGGAATTGTGTTCTAAAATCCCTTACACAATAATCCCTGCTTTTCCATGGCTATAAAGAAAAATAACAAACATAAGGCGAGGACTGTAGATAGCCTGACACTAGCAGGTTTGAAATGTGTAGAGGTGGCATCTCTTTAAGCCTGAACTCATCACTTGGTAGCTTTGGCTGAGCAGGAGTTTATTATTCATAACTGTAAAATCCACCCCATCTCATTTCATCATCCAAAGCGTACAATCAATAATTCAAGTATGAATTTTAAGAAGATTTCCAAATTAAGCCAGACACCCTAATGTATAGGACATACCACACCAATTAGTATACACAACAGCTTCTGAGTGAGCCAAGATGAGAGCAGCATAGTGAATTGGAAAATATGAATATCATTATGCTGAAGAGATGCTTAGAGCAGTAGGTAGGGAATAAGGTTCAAGCATTGGCATTGCTTTTCAGATGTGACCCTCAATATATTTTTGAGATTTGTATCCAATGCCAGGCCCCTGTAAACTGACTGGCAAATTGATGTGTCCTGGATCACCAGGCTCTTTCACAGAACACAGCTAAACCCATAAATACCATTAAAATTATTAGGATATGAGAGCTCCCAGTTACCTGTATTATACAGTACACTCTTTTCCTCAGGTATATTTTATTCAGTTTCAGCTTGTTCAAATGATCTCTGCAAGGAGAGAAGTGCAGTACAACTGTTTTTTGCAGTGTTGCTTACCTGGTGCCACATGCTTGTTTGTGACATTTTATGGGCACTAGATGGCCTGAATGTGGCAGTGGAGAACATCATCAAATATAATGCAAACAGCAAAATTCCTGCTTCGTGGTGGTCAATCCAGGATGCCTATCATAAATTTAAATCTAGGTTATAAGTAACCTGCCTTCTGCTTTTTGGAGTACTGACATAAAATACTCCTTTTTAACAGAGCCCATAAAACTCCTTGTAGTTTACGTGCATTTACATGTTGAAGACTGCAAGCTTTTTTGTGCAAAGAAGGGAGGAGTCATCTCTCTTTGTGAAATCCATGGTCAGTCTAAGGGCAATGTAACACCACAGGTCGCATATTGCTCTCTTTCAAGTCAAAATACAACAGCACAGTGATGTACCCATTTTTTTCGTTGTTTTGTTTTTATTGCTGATGGACTTTTTAAATTGGATTTTTCATTATTTTATTTTGTAGGTTTTATTTTGTTTGGTTTTGTTTGGGTTCACCCTATTTTTTCTTTTATTTATATAGTTTTATTTACTTTTAATTAGTCCCACTCATTGCCTTGTTGGCTTTGTTAAATACTAGCTGTCCACACTCATGTTTTTCTGTACTTAATGTCTTGGACTAAGGATTTCTGCTAGGACTGCTGATCTTATTGATGAGCTAGTTGAGGTGTTATTTTTTTTATTTAATGTGACTGTCCTCTAGCTTGGAGGGTTCAAGACAGTGGGGTTGCTTGCTCCTTGGTGTCCTTCCAAGGACTGACATACAGGTGGAGATTCTGTTGCTTGGCTCTGTGGCCAAACACCTGCAGACTGCTCTTTTCTTTTGCTGACCTTGAGCATCCCCCTCTTACAAATTCCTGGCTGTCTTTTATGCCTTTGAAGACAAGCATATTTATTTTAACACATGTGTTGAGAGGGAAGTGTCATCCCTAAAAAAAATAAGGCTGTTGTTTTATTCAGGAAGGGCAGTAAGATACAGCTCTTCCAGTGGGGGAACCACATTTTCCTCTTTGGCTGTGTATCCCAGCCCGTGGGTGAAACAGAGGCTGAAGCAGAACAGTCCATTCAGGCTGCAAAGCTGAACCTGCATACAAAAGCTGAAGGGAATGGAATGGCCAAGGCAGAAACCTCTGTTTCACCTCTTCAGGCCATATCTGTACCTAGCTGACCTTGATGCATAGTTTTCCTGTACAAAGAATGTTGGGCAAGGAGAGACCACCCGCTTCATCAAGCTGGATCTCATTGTGTGGCTGACACCTACACTTCAATGTTCATCAAAACGAGCCAGGTTTTTATCTGTAGTATATAAATGCTAATCAGAAGTATATATTTCTATAGATGTGTTATCAATATCTAGAGGGCACTGGCAGTGCTGCGGTTGTCTGTTTTTCTGGCATACCATCTAGGCTTTCAGGAGATCCAATTTAAATCCAGCTATCAATGAGTTTTGAATGCCATTATCATGTTTTATATTTGGTTCTGGGAAGGTGCATGGTTTATGTTTGTAGTGTGCAGAGTATTGGTTTATATTTATCTTTATTTATTTATTTCTATTTTATTTATATTGGTTTTCCCAATAATTTTTAAAGTAATTGTAATTATGTTTTCTGTGTCATTGCTAGTCATGTGTGTTTGTATTATGCTGCATTCTCAGTCTGGTATTTTCAAGAAGTGGATAAGCAGTGTCCACGATGATACAGTCTCCCTCCTTCCTTTCTAAGCCCATCATACTGGATCTCCTAGCATATGCCTTATGGCCATTAGCAGCCAAAAAAAAAGCCTCAAGGGGATTTTTATGCGTCAGTATTTCTTACTTAGACTAAGATTTCAACAAATCCCCTATTACTCTCCTATTATGATGAAGCCACTTGTGTTTTGTAGCTCTCGCAGAATACCTGGTGCCCAATTTGACAGCCTTTTAGGTTGCACCTTTTAAAAATCTCTAGCTGTATTGTTATGATCATAAAGTGAACTGCTAATAGTCTCCAAAAGCTGACTGCAGTTCTTATGCTCTGTACTTTCTTCCCTCTATCTTCATTTTATCATCACCCATACAAAGAGCCCATTCCTTTGCAGCCGTAATTAAGCTCTCAGTTTCTCTTTCCAGTCCTTCCCTGACAGCGATTATCATGTCTTATTTTTTGTAGTTGCTGAAGCTGTCAATCCACGATGCTTCCCAGGAGCCATGTTCAGGTTCACAGAAGCAGGAAGCAAGCACAGAAGAAAGTCCCAGAAGTCGGTCATCATTTTAAAGATAAGGTCTGATCAGGGAGACATGGTTGCTTAGTTGGGGAAGATTTAAAAGCAGCATATGGTTCATGTTCAGGATATAAACAGCTTACACACACACCCTGCCACCACACGTGTGCTCCAGCTGTCCCCCTAAGCACACACTGCAACAACAGCACAAGCACTTGTGGCATTTTCCCCCAAGTACTCTTTCACCCATTTTAATTTCAGGAAATTTCTGAATTACATGTGTGTGGATAGTCTCAGTTCACTCAGAGAGAAAAAGAGAAAGATTTCTGCCAGGCTAAGCCTGAGAAAAAGTCTGAGAGGAATCTAAACAATCTATTATCTTGCTTTTAGCTCATATTGTTTATAGATATGTTCTACCACAGTGACCTAAGTCCAGTGTACCAATCAGGTGAAATGTTTTTACTTTAAGACCAACAGAATTAATGTTCACAATGTTCTCTATAAAAGAGAGAAGTGCTTTTGAATAAACACTCATTTTACCTTCTAAAATCGTGCAAGTCATTTCACCCATCCCTGGCTCAACTGTGGAGGTTTTTTTTTTCCCCACAGTTAGTAATGCTTTCTGTATTTCTGCTGCACAATCTGATGCTGTTTCTCCCTTGAGGCCATTTAGATTTTGAACACCCATAAAAACAGCCCTAGTAAAACCAGGTGAAGCTGCAATCCACCACCCTTCTGTGTCTGGCTCCATCTAATACTGTGACTCTTGACTCCCAAAAACTACTATGTCCTCTCAAGTCAAGTCTGACCATAGCAAGAGTTCTAAACCACTTGCTCATTTATCAAGAGGAAGTTGCCCACCTTTGTCTGTCTCCTCTGAATTTTCACCATATTTTGTTTGCAGGTGAAAGAGCCAGAGTAGCACAGTATTCAAAATAGGTATGAACTTTGTGGTTGTACTGGTGTTTAACAGTATTTTCTGTTCTCTATCTACTCTGTAAAACCTCCTATGATTTTACCCAGCATTTTCCAGAATTAAGCTGGTGTTTTCATGGTCTTGCTCCTGAAAATTACAGCCAGCTTAGAGGTCATGTCCACTTGAGTCTTGGATTGCTTTTTCCAACGTGCACCACCCTGAATCTGTTTCTTCAAAAATAACTTGGTCAGCCCTTATTTTCACTAGCTTGACCAACTTTGTTTTATTGGGATCTTTCTTAGACTGTGTAAAACAAGGGGAACAGCACAGCTCCTATCACACAGTTTTTAGGGACTCCATCAGTGAGCTCCATCCACATAAAGAACAGCCATTAACGCCTACAACTTGTATTCTGTCTTCAACTACTAACATATCCAGGCACCTCCCCTTACTGGAGCAAGTTTTTCCAGGTAAATTGATCAATTTGTCCCCAGTCTACTTTTAAAGAATCAGAACAGGTTTTTTTCCCTCTGTGCTAGCCCTAATAGGACATGTAAGGCACCAGAAGGTAGAAATACCAAACCCAACAGTGTGATATGAATTTTGTACTCAAAATAAACACAACACATTGTCACATAAATGATTGCCCTGCTATCAAGAAATATTCCCCTATTCTCTAAGAACAATTAACTACACAAGGTTTACAGTACTGGAAGGCATTCACTTACAGACAATGTAGAATAATTTGCAGACGAGGTTGATTGTGCTGGCAGAGTTTAACTGAAAAATAAAACAGAGATACACATTGATTGAAGCTATCTAAATTAAACATGAATGGCTTCTAATGAAAACAGCAGGCAAAACAGCACTTTGAGGCCTCAGCAACAACATTTTTCTCAGTATGGGTTGTGAGGTATCCAAATCAAATAAGGAAAAAAGGTTCCTTGAATGATTTACTAATTTATCACCTTAATACGCATATTTTCAAGTTTATGGATTTATGAAATTACCTTTGGTATTATTCACTCCCCTCACCGCTAAGCATTTCGAGTAACAATTGTACAGATTGTCAAAAATACTGATAGTATAATCAGTGGGGTGCTGTAGGTTATGTCAGAAGAGTTGCTGTCTCTCTGTGACACAAGCAGTGCACCTCACTGTGCAGCACCAAAAATCACCTTTTGTTCTCTCTGCCACTCTCCTAAGGCTCATCAGTTGGAGAAAATAGGTCCATGCTTCCTTCAATCTTCACTGCTGTTTCCATTGACTTTTGTGGAACTACTCTGATTGTCTGGCTACCAATGCCTGGTGATGGATGGAAAATTAATCTGAGACATGCCTGTGGTTCTTCTCAAGTATGAATGGAATATTTTTATTCATTTGATACAGTGGGTTTTCATTTGACACCCAGGCATTTCACTTCTTCTGTAGTATTCCACTTCCTTTGACACTGGCATGCAGTTCCTTCCAGCTACCAACAGATTTCATTATGTTTCTGTTTACTTATGCTTTAGTATCATTAATGAGGATGTTGGCTAAGTCAAGACCTGCCAGTAATCTCTGTGTTATGTTACCTGACAGTGCCTCTCTGTTTTATGTGCAGTTATTTAGTACTACCCTGAGCCATGGACATCTTGCCAGCTCTCAATACACTTGAGAGCAAAGCTGGTGAATAATTTATTAACTAATTTGTGCCTTATGTTCCTGCATGAAATACATATCAACAGGCTGATTGTTACTGACTCATTTCTTACTTGAAAAAATTCAAGAAACACTTACTGCAAACATATTTTAGTGTGTGTGTTGTTGGCAAAGTTCATTAATATAATCTAACTAATACATATATATATATTTATATATATATATATATATATATATATATATATATATATATAATGTCCATGGAGTTTTATTCTTTATGTGATGTGCCAGAGATGCCACATTCCTTTTACCTTTAAGTGTTCAGAGACAACTGTGTTGGTACTGGCTTTTTCAATTTTTTTTTTAAGGATTTATTTCTCTGTGAAGCAGTCCCATCTCTTACTTTTGTTTTCCTTCTGAAAATTAATCCCATATTCACCTTTCACTAATATATTGATCAGTCCCTGCTTGTTTTTTAGTTTTCAGTAGTAATTGCAATAGTAGAAAATCAGACAGAACTTTTTCTTGAAACACCTCTCATTGGAAAATTGATTTTTTATTATGTTTTTTTAAAGAAACTATCTATTTAGTCATTAACTGTTTTGTCCTTGCTAGAAAGCTGATTTTAGTTTATCAAACAAAATGTATTTTGGAAGCATTCTTCAGAAAAAATGTTAGCTGTTTTTTCCCCTCTTGTATTACTTGAGTGGGAAAGTAGGAGGCAAATCTTCATAATACCTTGAGATCATCCAGAACCAGTCCTTTTCATATGTATGTATATTGCTCTAATATTAATACACGCATTTCTTAGTTCCCAGGACTATTCCTTAAAATGTTTTTTGTCTTTTGAGTTCTTTTCAGTAAATTCATGCCCTACCATAAAAAGCAAAAATTTGCTGAAGCCTCTGTAATATAAACTGATACAATGCACACAGGGAAAAATACATCTCAGTCTGAACTCTGTTGTGCTCAGCCCATTTGGACTTGCCCTGCACTTTCAGGTTGATGCAATATTTTTATTTTATCACCTTAGAGTCACAAGCTCCTAGGCAGTGGGTCTGTCATGGCAAAGAAAGAGCTGCCTCTCGCAGGCAGGTGGAACAATTCCTGTACATCAGCCAGTAACCACAGCCCAGCCTTCTGCTGAGAAAAGGACATTTTATTTCAAGTGCCTAAGAGCAGCAATGTCGGTGAAAAAGGTTGCTATAAAGTGACAGACAGATGCTTCACCACCAGATCGTTCAAACAGGATTAAAAATAACAGGGGCAAAATACCCCAACAAAACACACACACACAAAAAAAAAAAAAAAATCCCAACCACAGCAAACCTAAAATCCAAACAAAATCCCCAATTGAAGCACAATGTTGCAGTACTTCAGTGTATGTTCTATTTTCAGAAGGCGCTAAAGAAGCTGAAGCACAATAGGCAATGATTTTTACATTATTCACACCAAAAAGTATTTGTAGAATAATGCAAATACGCAGTGGCAGCCTGCGGGCTGTTGTTGAAGGGTAAATGTTTACAGGAACACTGGGTGTGAGGCTGTGTTGGGTTTGTATGGCACAGTTCCCATAGCAGAGGGGGTACAGGGGTGGCTCCTCTGAGAAGCTGCCAGAAACTTCCTCTTTGTCTTGCAGGAGGGAGTGGTGGCAGGGAAGGTGTTTTTAAGATTTCACAGAATGATAGAATAATAGAACAACCTAAGTTAGAAAGGACCTATGAGTATTACCAAAGTCCAGCTGCTGGCCCTGCACAGCCCACTCCAAGGGTCACACCATGTGCCTGAGAATGTGTCTAAATATTTCTAGAACTCTGTCAGGCTTGATGTTGTGACCAGTTCCCTGGGGCACCTGTTCTAGTGTCCAACAACCATTTGAGTGAAGACCCTTTTCCTAATATCCAACCTAAACTTCCCTTGACATGTCATTCCCTTATCACCAGAGAATAGATCAGTGCCTGCCCCTCCACTTCCTCTGTGAGGAATTAGTTTTATTTCTCATTTTCCTCTTCTGATTTTGGTTGGTGAATGCCTAAGTCTTGATATTTGACTGTGCACTTGAAGAAACTGGAAGGCAGATGTGCTTTGGGAAACATGGGATGTAGGAACAGAAAATCCAGGAGAACCCACTTTTTCATGACTAGAGAAAAATTTCCAAGACAATCCTGTTTTCCATTGATAACTTACTTGCTTAGACATGGAGCTCAAACCTGACACTTAGATAAAACAGCTAAAGCAGCTGTAGTGGTGGAAAAAAGACAAAAAATAAACACCTACCTCTGTAGAGATTCCTACTCAAGTCACCAGTCACCTACACATGAGCCTTAGGAAAGGCTAGTGCAAAGGGGCATGTACTAATGTGCACAAGATTTTTTGTAACCTCACTGCCATACCCAACTGGTAACAACTTGTCAGAACACTAATCTTGCTATTGCTCGAATATGTTACATTATTTATTAAAATTGAAACTGCATTTAAAATACAGGTATTATGAGTTATCCATGTATTCAAATGATAATGAAGTTTAAAAAGAAAAAAAAAGTGAGGTGATTTTGTTTCTTTGATAGTCTTTTAACTGCCAAATCTTCCCATCCACCCCACAACAGCATGGGATTGTTAATCTTCCCACTTGCTGAAAGCAGTGATTTTTTTTTTTCTTTGAGCTTTTTGCAAGCTAAGGCAAAGCTGCTTTTCCTGTTGTGGGGTAGAGGTCCAGGAAAACAGAGGCTCCCTCACATTTGCTTTCAAGCTCTTGGAGAACTTATAAATACTTTGTGACTGCTCTTAGAAAAATATGAATTTAGCAACCACCTTCTTTGGGGATGGATCCTTGGCTTGTGCAAACTGTCAGAGCTGAGTTGAAATCAGTTATGCAGTGCGGTATTTTGCTTTAACTCCATGCTCTAAGTCATTAAATCCCAAACTGAGAATGGCTGTGTCAAAACCCTTGAACCACCTGCTCAGCTAGAAAAGGAGCAAAGTCTAAGTATTTAGCTATATTAGATGTACACATGAAGATAATTCTGTGAAATTAAAATCCTGTTTGGGTGAACTTGTGCATTTTGATTCTGGGAGGAAAAGAGGGTGTATAAATGATTTGTGTGCGAGATCCACTGCCTCTCAGTTCAGCTGGGATCATCACATATCATCCTTAGCCATGAAAATCTTCCCAGCTGCCATAAACTGCTCTGTATGTACAGACCTTATAGTGTAGCTGCAAGTAACAAAAAACATCATAGCAAGGGTCATATTTTGATTTTTCTGGTTTGCTTTTGGACCATAAAGTCACCAGAAGGCATGGACAGCAGGAAAAGGGATTTATGTTCCCTGTCTCTTCCAATCTGAGAACTAGAAGGCATGAAATAAAACTAGGCAAGGCTAGTTTTGAAACAGAGAAAGGATTCCTTTTTCACAGCACTTGGCATTAGAAATGGGGACTCAGGGCCACGGGACAGTGGAGCTGCTGGTGACTCATGTACATGTGACAAAGCAATGGGGCACATCCAGAGACAAGAACTGCTTGAAGAGTTGTCAAATGCCAAGCCTCCCACACCAGGTGCAGCAATGCACCCTGCAGCATCTGTGAGAGCCCTCTGGTGAAGCACCACTCCGTGCTTGCCCTACCCATATTTCAGCAGGGAGGATACTGGTGTGATCAGCTGATCCACTACACTTTTTCTTATATTCTGGTTGTTCTATGCTGTAGTTCTGCAATATGACTCTTACACTCTTGCCTGTTGATAAATTGTTTGTATGGTGGATGGACAAAACCACTGGATTCTCTGGAGAGCTGAACTTCTACTTAACTATCTTCTGCTTGCTCTTTAGCTTGTACTTGAGTTTTGCCTCTACATTCAGTTATCTCTGTTCATCTGAAATTTACCCAGACTAATGAGTAGCCTTGTGTTAATGGAAGCTTCAGTTTTCTGTGGATAAATTATTTAGGGAGAGGAGGAATAGAAGACTGTTCTATATTGAGGACTAGGACTTCTAAAAATAAATAAAAAGAAAAGTAAGTCAAGAGTTAACAAAATATTACTTCATCAAAATAAACACATCTAAAGGAACAACACATTGTAGAAATATCCATAAGCACACCTATATTAGCAAACTTGAGACAATACATTTCTGTGGGAGGC